ATGGCAAAAAGAATTACTAGTGACAGAGATGGTTACTCCACACTGATAAATGGTTCGAATCATCTGGAAGATAAAACGATTTGAAACTCTAGGCATCTAACATATTCTGGACTCGTATGTAGCAAATAATTGTTTCGAAATTAAACACTTAAAGAATTAAAAAGAAATTCACAAAACCATTATCACATTGGGAAGTTTTAACATACCTTGTTCAGTAACTGATAGATCTAGCGATTAAAAACTCAGTAACGACACATAAAATTTCGATAGCATAACAAATTAGCTTGACCTGAGGGATAGATAAAATATGCATGCAACTACAATCGGAGAAAACACACTCTCTTCAAGTACACACAGAACGTTTCTGAAAATTGATCGTGTACTAGGCCATAAAGCTAGCCTCAGCAAATGTCAAAGGGCTGGTACCATACTCTCTGAACATAAAGCAACTGAACTGAAAATTAATAATAACGAAAACAAAACACAAGACACCTGAAAATTTTACAAGCACATTTTAAAATAGCTCGTGGGTTCCATAAAAAAATCATGAAGGAAATTACAAAATGCTTCAGATTTCACGACAAGGTAACTACATAACAAATGTTTGTGGAATGTAGGCAGGTGGTTGTGAAGACTCTATAGCCTTAGATGCTAAACACTAGAAAAAACTAAAAATTAATAAGCTAAGCATTCAGACTGAAGGATTTAGAAAACAAATAATAAATTCACAAAAGTCAAAGCAAAAACAAAAAACAGAAATTACTGAAACAGAAAACAAATACATCTAAAAGAAGATTAAGAAAGCCAAAAGATTGTTTTTTGAATAAATGAAAGTGAGAAACTTCTGGTAAGACTGTTGAAGAAAATGGCGGGTGGGGGCGCGGGACACAAATAACTGTGGATGAAAACAGGGACATACTGCAGATATGGCTGAGATTTAACAGAAAAGAAGAGGATTTTACGAACAATGAATGCTATGCCAAAAACTTTTAAAACAAATATTAAATGAGAAAATTCATTAAAAAATAAAACTTCCATGAAAGACCCCAAACAATCAAAGCAATCCTGAGAAAGAACAAAGCCAGAGGCATCACACTTCCTGATTTCAAACTATCCTGCAAAGCTATAGTAATCAAAACAGTATGGTGCTAGCATAAAAACAGATGCGTAGACCAATGCAACAGAAATGAGCACCTAGAAATACACCCATGCATAGTACGGTCCACTAATGTTTGACAAGGGAGCCAAGAACACTCAACGGGGGAAAGGGTGGTCTCCTCACTACACGGTGCTGGGAAAACCAAACGACCACAGGCAGAAGAAGGAGTCTGGACCCCCACCTTACACCACTCGCAAGAGTGAACACGAAATAAACCAAAGACTTAAACTTAAGTACCAAAAAGCTGGAAATGATCCAAATATCCATCAATAGGAATCTGGTTAAATTTTGGAACCACAATATAATGGAAAAGTATACACTGTAAAAAACCAGAAGAACCTCTCTATCGGATTCACCTCCAAGATATAACGTTGAGAGAATAAAGGAAGGTCCAGAACACGGCAAATACTATGCTCCACGTGTTCAAAGGGAAAGAAGAATCATGACGCGCACTTAGTCAAAGAAACTCCGGAAAGATATACAGGAAACTAAACAGTTACTAGGATGGAGTGAGGGGCGAGTGATTCAGCGGGATAAGAATGGCAACGAGATGTTCTACTTTGTTGCGTTTTGTTTTGTTTTGTTTTGTTTGTATTTTGATTTTAGATATGTGAATGTATTTCTTACTAAAAGTTATTTTAGTAACTTGATAGTTACTAATTCGAAGGTATATACATGAGTCAAAACTCAAATGATGTAACATGCATTTCATTACATGTATGTCTTTTATCTCAAAAGGGGGAAAATACCTTAAATACTCATCATCTCTAGTTAATTATATGCATGCTAAATAGGAGGAAGTGTACTGATGTCTGTAACTCACTTTGAAATTCATAAAAAATAATAAGCTGGATCAGTGCGTGGAGGGAGGGACAAACAGATGGAAGATAAAGCGGGTGTGATAAAATGTTAATTGTGGGATCTAGGTGGCAGAAATAGGGAGGAGGTTCAGTATAAAATTCTTTCAACTTTTCAGTATGTTTGAAAATATCATAATAAAATATTGAAAAACATCTTATTTATATCTTATTTAAAACTTTAAAACAGAGAACTTATTAATCAAAACAAAACTAAACAGAAAATGACCAAAGACATAAACACGTGTTTAACAGAAGGCACGAATGTTCCATAAACACAGAAAAAGTGATTCGGCCCTGCTCGTGCTCAGGGAACGAACTACAAATTAAAACCACCTCGAGAGACCGTTTCTCAGGCATCGGGTTGGCAAAAGTTTCATCAGTGCCAAGTGCTGAAGAGGACGTGGAAATAACCCAAACCCAAAGGTCCGTCAGTGTTAGAACGTCTATGAAATCGTGGCACAGTCACACAGGCAGCATCACCTGTTAACGCCCTCAGCCACAGGAAAGCATCTCTAAAGACATTTCAAGGAAACGATGCCAAGTAATTAAGAGAACCGGCTGTTCATATTAAGTTCGAAAGCAGGCGACACTAAACGACACATCATGTGCCACCCCAATCCGAGCCACATTCACCTCTCACGTGGGTAACTGCCACAGTCCCGTTCCTGGCCTCCGTTTCTGCCCTCCAGCTCACACCAGAGTGGTCATTTCAAAACGCAAGTTGGGCTACGCTGTCCTTCACCCCAAATCCTCCTCTCGCCCCCCATCTCCCTCAGAGTCCACACAGCCCACCTGCCCTGCCTGCGCCAGTTCCCACCACCTCTCCTGTCCGCTCCAGCCACAATGAACCTGTCCCTTCTCAAACTGGCCAAGCTGGCTGAAGTCTCGGGGCCTCCCGCAGAATCCGTGGCGCTCACTCTCAAATCTCCTTGGTGTCAAGGACTCAGACGTCACCGTGTTAGAGAGGCTCACGGGGACCACCCTGGATAAAGTAGGAAAACCCCTCCGGCCGCAAGCCGGCGCTCCCTTCCCCGACCTTCTTTGCCATTCTCCACCCATCGGCCCCTACGGGACCGTACATTTTACTCATTGACTGTCTGTCTTCACTCACTAGACTGGAAGCTCCACGGGGGAAGAATCTTTGTTTTGCTCCCTACCACAGCCGCAGCACCTAAAAGAAGTCTAAGAAAGGGCTTCATCTGTGAACGAATGAATGAATGACCTTGTACGAAACTGCTTTTTAGACGATAAGCATTTGTTCTAACACCAAAAAGTATTCTGATTTACCAAATCATAAATCGTGTTATTTTCACAAACAGGCATGAAAAGGTAAATTAACTATCACTCTGCAAAATATGATGAACATGTATGCTTTACCCTGAATGTAACTCATTTCTTTCCAAAAGGAAGCAAAGAAATAGCTAGGAATCCAACTTGCAAGAATTTCGAAACTGATTTTAAAAAGAAATCAAGAACAGCAGAGTATGTCAGACTTTTACAAAGCAACACTGAAATAAAGCGTTTGAATCCCACACCTCCAACTAAATTAATGTACTCTTGCTGTAAAGCTCAAAGCCAAAATAGAAAGCTTTTCCTAAATCGACAAAACAAGTTTTAACTTTTTTTTAAGAGGAAGGACAAACAGGTGCAGGCTGCAAGGAATCTCGAGGATCATCCAGTGTTAGCTCCTTCGTTTTTACAAGAAAAGAAACGGAGTACCTGAAATGACCTATGGGGAACTCGAAAGTGCTCTATGTCAAAATCGGCAACAATGGAAAAACACTGGAAGCCAAGAAACCATTTTGTTCAGTTGTGATCCTTGCTATAGTAAAATTTAGCTTGTATAGAATTAGAGACAAAATACATCGCCATGGAAACGATATTCTCAAGCACACATGTGAGGCTGAGCAGTACGTTTCTCTATGCAGGCCTTCGTATCTAAGCACACACGCAGGATTTGGGGTGAGCAGAGAGTGAAAAGGGCAGAGCTTTGTAATCTGACAGGTCTGGACTTGACTCCTGGCTCTGCCAGAATCAAGTAGGATCTTACTTGATCCTGGTCCACAGTGGCCCGAGCTGGCCCTCCCTATGCCCCACCTTTTTTATCAGCAAAATGGTGGTAATTCAGATCTACCTTATAAGTTTGTTCAAAAATGTAAAAAGTACACGTCATCTGATTCAGGGACCCGTACGTTTGTAGCTACTAAACACAGGCTTTCTGGCGTTTTATTCAGAGTTGCATAATGCTCAGTGAGAACCACCAGCGCTGACTGCCTCTGTTCGTTTTATGATGGTGCGTCTGCCATCGGTTGATAGCCTATAACTGGAATTCTACTAAGAGCAGGGGGAAGGTGCCGCTAATAGGAATCTATCAATTAGTTGACAGCAGCCGTCAGGCATAACTTGTTTGAGGAAAAGTCAAAGGCTGCTTCAGCACTTGTTCGAAATGTGAGGCTGAGTAATCTGTTTCCGACTGCAGTCACGAGGCCTGATCAATTACGCCATCTCGAAACCGAAAGGAATCTCGGAGGACATCCTGCAAGAACCCTCCCCACTGTGTATTCGATGATGTTAAACGGTCACTCCTGCCTGCAAGCTTCCAGTTCGAACCAGCCTCTCACTCAAGCTGAGAGCGGTTTATCATATTTTCGGAACCCCCAATTATCAGAGAGGGCTCTCTCCCCCCCAGTTAGAATGGACAGGTGAGGAAAAAGGGAACAGCAGATAAGTGCCACCCCACATTCACATACTTCGGCATCGAAATCTGTAAGTATTGTTTTCACCTGCGGTAAGAAAGGATATTCTATGTAACAATAATTCCATAACATAAAAGTCAAGTTCTAAAAATGCATTGTAAGGCTTATAATTATATCCTCATGACAAAATACATCTTTCTTTCTGCCCTCAGGTGGGAAAGAGAAAAAAAAAAATACATCTTTCAAACTCTGCTTAATTAATAAATAAAACAAAAAAAAACATACCTGGGATGATATCATTGATATGCAAGAGAATTGTACTTTCGACACTTGCAAAACTACAAAGCTGTACTCCATCGAATCTTCCATCCCAGTTGCCAATGGGATTATCCTAGAATTAAGGAACAGGATAAACCTTAAAACCCTCCTCAATAAAACGTCAACATTAAAGTCTGCATTTTCTATAAAAGAATCCTCCAAAACATTTACACGGGTAAATTTTAACTGTTTTTCCAAAAGAAAGAAAGAAAGAAAATAGATCAGTAATATGTGCCGCAGTAATAAGGCTTTTTGTGTTTCGGCGTTTTTTTTGTTTTTTTTGTTTTTTGTAAAAATGAGATCCAAGAATAATCAAGCTATAGTAAATTCAAAGATTAGCAAGGAATCAAAAATACTTGTCATGCTTTACTGGACAGTAAATACTGGTTCTATACTAACATCCACCCACATGGGGAGATCTATTGATAATGTACTCTTTTCACCCAGAAATCTGCCCCTAATTAGCCCTAGCCTCCTCTAATCACTCCTTTACATACCCTGAGCACTTAAATATTCAGTTTGAACTCCTATATGCCTTTCTGTACATAGAAAGTCGATTTTTAATGGTTCTTTTGTCATTTTATGGGTATGCAAGAATCCCCTCCAAAATGGAGAATTTATGTTTAATCAGTTCCTAGGCCAGCGCGGCTCCAGCCGGCACAGCGCTGTGCGTGGAGCTGGACTAAGAGGGAGCCGGCCCTGAGAACCCGCATGCACACGCGCTGACTGCAGCTGGAAACAGGAGACGGAGAATTCTGCGTTTCCCAGAACTCCCTTTCACGGAGTACACGAGAGGGTCTGGGTGAATGAATGCGTGCACGAGCCAACTGGAGGACAGACCGAGCCGGGGGAGAAGCTGGTGGGCCAAACCCCTGGGCAGCCCGCCGCGCCCAGTCAACACGGTGATCTCCAGGCTGCCATCTGAGGAGGGGAGGTCGGCCCGGCTTTTGCTCAGTTGGAGGCCCACGTGACCCGAAGCGAGGGGAAACTGATCCCGATGACCAGCGGCCCTCCTTCTCCAACCTGCCCCGTCTCCCGGCCCACGCCTTCTCCTCTAACTTGATGCTGAACGCTGGCAGAACCGTGGTTTGAAGTGTGCCCGGCCATCAGCAATCCTGACGGACCCACGGGCTGGATTCTGGCTCTAACTTGTCACGAGGCAAATAGTCAGCAAGCATTTGTCTAAATGACGTCGTAATGTTTATCTTACTGATGGGTATCAAATAGAATTTTCTAGAATCTCCAAGCAACAGATAAATTTATGTTAGAACGTTCGTACCCTACTGAAAAGCAAACCTAAATAAAAAGAATCACTACAAACAAGAGTGCAAGAGTCTATTTCTCACACCCTCCCCTAACTCATTCTAGTGTTTAATAATTCTGTATCTATTTTCTCCATCTATGATAAAAATGTTCTCAGCCTTTTCTTCTCCTTCTCGTAACCCCACAGATCTCATTCCACTTGCCACCCTGGGATGTACTCATTATTAACAAATATATGATCGCAAGGAAACAAACAAAAGGACAAATATTGCATGATTCCACTTGTAGGAGGTCCCTAGAATGGGCAAAGTCACAGAGACAGGAAGAAGAGGACTGGGTGGCAACAAAGTTTTTTTGAGTAGTGACATCCTGCAAAAAATACTCTAAAGTGATGTGTTTTTCCTCCATTCAGGTATTTTCCATAAATGATATTTATGCTACTCATTAAAATCAGATCAGCCAATAAAATATTGAAAAATATTACAAAAAGAGAAACGCAGATGAGAAAAAAAAAAAAACCTTTTCAAAATAAAGAAAAATAAGACATTATGTAACATATTTGGGTATTTTTTTTCTCCTGGCCAGTTATCATAGAGCAGATCTAAAGATGGAAAACATTACTGCGGTTTAAATGGGGAAAAAGAGTCAATGTAATTCTCCACCTAGACTCCAATGTGTATTTACCAAAGACAAAGCGATTCTTTTTATTTAGGTGTGCTTTTCGGTAGGGTATGGATGTTCCAGTATAGAACACGGTCTTTAAATTACTCCAAATTAGTCTATTTTAAATATTCGGTGTTTAATTTGTCCCTGATTGGTCACAAAATGGATATATTCATGAAGATGATATAACTCGAAAGTTACTCACCATGTCCACACCAACAAAATATCCTAGACTTTCTTTTCCCGGCAAAACATCACAGAATATGACTGTTCCAGATTCGACAGTTTCTCCAATCTTCAGAGAAACTCTGGAGTTTATTTCCAGAGGAGGAAGCTCCACCTGCACTGCGTCCACTGGAACTGCATAGTCGCTTTCCAGGCCATTGTCATCATCTTCTATGATTTCGAGCTTGTCCAACGCAACAAACACTCCGCAGTCTTCATCGCACTGAAAGAGCTGTTTCCCTTGGTAGATCCCATCGGTGAACCCCTGGCCACGACCTTCCTCCTAGTTTTTAAAAGAGGGGGAGGAAAGTTTGATTGATAGATAGGTAGATATAGAAAGATAATCCACAAGAAAAAAAGACTCACTCTGAGGATTTCAGGGAAATCCCCGAAAAAATTCTAAATGACACACAGAAGAAGCATAATTATTAGCAGTTGCTGTTGGATTTAAGGTGTTTAAAAAACTAATACGAATAAGAAAGAAGCTGCATTTGATGCCAAAATAAAAGTACTTGATAATTTCAAATCATAATTCCACTGTGAGAAAGCTGGACTGGACCCTACACTGTCATTTTAACAATAATTCTGTCGTAGAAAGAAAATTTTACTTTAAAATAACAGTAACGTTAGCTGTATTTGTTGAGCACGTACTGTTCAGCGATGCTGAACCAATGCAGCATCGCTGGACAGGTGAGGAAGCCCGCTGTGAGAAGCGGCTCGGTGAAGCCGCCTGGGAACCCGGCGAGCATCTGCCACAGCTGGGACCCAAGTCCCCAGCAGTTTTATAATCAATGCTTTAGAAAATCAAATCAAGATGCAAACGAGGCCTGAAACTCTATTTGCAAGAATATCAAAACGGAATTGACGTTTAAGTTCTCGAGAATTAATATTAATTTTGAAAACCTATCACGAGTTCTTGGTTCTCTTTTCAGTAGAAATAAATTCCCAGATAAGTTTCACATATATTACTGGGGACGACTATGGGCAAGTTTAAGTTGCTGCAACTTAGTAAGAAAAAAACTCATATCCAAATCCAATCACTTAATAGCACACATTAAGAAAAACTGAGAAAGCTACACATGATAACGTCACAAGATAACTGAGCTTTGTGAAGTGATTAGTTTACCATCGGTAGAGTTCCTTTTTGAAAAAGATAATGTTAAAATTTCTCAGATATGAAAGTCTTCGATAATTACATGATCCGTCTGCATTTCCCACCGTAGGAGGTCATTTTTAAAGCTGCCAATGCATCATCTTTGGACCATCTCGATTTGCCACTCAACGGTGAAGCCTAAGGATTATGAATTGTACGGAAGACGTCTAGGAAAATATTTGGTATTTAATGGGGAAAAAAAAATACACGCATCCATACAAATAAAGGCACGTGAACGCGAACACACGCACGGCCACCTAAAACGGCGTATCTCAAACTTACCAGTAATTCCACTCCGAAGAATATTCCGGACACTGTCCTCTCGGCCAGCAGGGGTCCCCGGAAGCGCACGACTCCAGGAAACTTCTCCTCCCCGGGCCTCAGCTGCACGCGCACGGGGCAGCCCACGTCCACCTGCAGGCCCTTGCTGAGTCTGCTCCTGTTTCTGAACAGGCCGAACCGCTCCTCGCAGTTGGTGATTGCCAAAAGCAACTCTGTGAACTGCTCACTGATTTCCACCACGTCCTTTTCATCAACAAAGAGCACTGCGTGCGGCTGCTCCAGGATTTTTAGTCCGATCTGATTTTTCTTGCCTTTGGCGGAAGGTATCCTGGAGTGGCCCGTAGACCGGTCCTGGATGTACTGTCCTATGCTCCCCTTTGGTACCTTAAGGACCTTTTGGGTCTGTTTGTCTGTAACGCTGCATTCCTGAAGAAGTAAATAGAAAATCCGATCTTCCCAGTAGGGTGAAGTAACTTTTTCTTGGCTCCATAAGCCTGAACTCATTGTGATGTTAACTCCAAAATATTAACTCATAAAAAAGGGAACTACGACGTTTGGAGTGAAACCGCAAAAGATAAATTCACTGGCAGTCCCGAAGCACGTTTTTAGCAACTTGGTGCCCATGCTGTAGAAGGATAGCAAGTCAAAATGCCTGGGGGACAAGCAAAAAGAAACTTTACTCCTCATTCTACGTAACTACAATTAAGGTTAAAGACTTTTTAAAGAGCTCATTCAACTAGTAGAAACACACACACAAATGAAATACTTCCAAAAATATCTCAAAAGGTTAAAAGATTTATATTACTTGCATCTACCGTAATTTTACATATTTAATTACAGAGATCCATGTGTTCAAGATACTGAAATTTGTAAAATCAAATTCTAGTAAAAGATAATTATATATATATGTATATACATTCTGACGTTTTTTAACTTTAAAAAGTAGCATTTTTAATAGATCCTGCCTAACTTAAATGGATAAGCTGCTATCTTCAGACAAAAAACACATAAATCAAAAAGGCTATTATTTTTATATGTGCACGTAGTTTAAATAAAAGGTTACCCATCAAACTATTATGCTAAATATCTTTTAACGATAAAATATCATAAAATCGCATTCTGAAACTTTAACCATGATTCATTTATTTGTGTGCCATATTTTGATAATGGAACATTTTATCTCTGACTCAGTTTCACTCCCCTAATCTTGTATATTTCATCCTTAGGCAAATGTTAATCATATTAACCATCAATCATTGAATTTCTCACAATCGTAAATATCAGATATGGTAAATCTGATTAAAGATATCTGAGAAGATCAATTCTGTAGCCATCAAAACTTGGACTACGTGTAACAAGGAAATATAATTGCAATAAGTTATCAGATATAAAATGTCTTTATATCACAATTTTAACTATGTATACCAGAAAGGAACTCACAAAAGGTGATTTCCAGTTTCAAATTTTCATTTAAAACCTTCCAAAAATACTAATTTTCCACAATTACAATAGCCTTCTCGGCCCTACCTTAATTGATTAAAAACTGTACAATTTCATTAATTCAGATTAAGAGTTTCATTCATTATTTTAATTAATTATCTTACTGAAAACAACAGTTCCTATCTATTCTTTGTTACATGAATGTGGCGTTTCGGTTTCTAAACACAGCGTTTATTCTATTCTTCTTTGAGAGGGATCCATTTTCAGTATTCTGGGTAGCAGCAGCATTTGATAGCACTATCATATTTACCTATTTTGTTCTTGGGATTAGAAACTAAATACTCCTAAAACTAAAGAACTAAATGTTAAGTTTAATCTTTCATGGGATGATTAAATAATCTGGCAGATCCAAATGCAGGATAACATTTCTTTTACCATGCCTTAAAGATAATGAGGTTATTTCTATAATGGCAGGTTTTCAAAAGCCAAGTCACCTGTACGAGTTATGGAGATTACCCAAGACAGGGCAAAGGGCTGGGCACCCCGGCAAAACCAACATTATCGAAACATCTGTGCACTACTGAGTGAGGACGAGGCGGAGCTAGCATGAAGTGCTTCTCTCTTGCTTTAAATTTTTCTTTTTTGATAATGTGTTTGTCGTAATTCCACTTGAGGGCACTGTGTACTTCAGCAGG